AATGAGTGGAAAAAAGAGAGGATAGAGAGTCTGTTGATAAGTTTACCTATCTCCGAGGTAGCTATTCTTACTCAAATAGCTTGTTTTGGCTGTATCGCACTATGTATCATTTGATAACCCTAAAAATCTTCTACTTTTGATTCAAATCAAATTTCAAATGGAGGAAATCCAAAGATCTTTACAGCTAGAAAGATTTCAACAACCCGACTTCCTATATCCACTTATTTTTCAGGAGTATCTTTATGCATTTGTTCATGATCGTGGTTTTGGTAGATCGGTTTTGTCGGAAAATCCAGGTTTTGACAAAAAATCTAGTTTACTGATTGTGAAACGATTAATTACTCGAATGTATCAACAGAATCATTTTCTTTTTTCTCCTAATGATTCTAACCAAAATACGTTTTGGGTGTGCAACAAAAATTTGTATTCTCAAATCATATCAGAGGGGTTTGCTTTTATTGTGGAAATTCCATTTTCTCTACGATTAATATCTTGTCTAGAAGGGAAAAAGAAAAAGATAGTCAAATCCCAGAATTTACGATCAATTCATTCAATATTTCCCTTTTTAGAGGACAATTTTGCACATTTACATTTAGTATTAGATATACTAATACCCTACCCTATCCATGCGGAAATNGGTAAAAGATGCCTCTTCCTTGCATTTCTTACGATTCTTTCTCAACAAGTATTGGAATAGTTTGATTCTTCCAATGCCTTCAAAGAAAGCCAGCTCCTCTTTTTCAAAAAGGAATCAAAGATTAGTCTTATTCTTATATAATTCTCATGTATGTGAATACGAATCCATTTTTCTCTTTCTATATAACCAATTTTCTCATTTACGATCAAGACCCCTTGGAGTTTTTCTTGAACGAATCTACTTCTATGGAAAAATCGAACGTCTTGTGAATGTCTTTGGAAGGGTTAAGGATTTTCAGGTGAACCTATGGTTGGTCAAGGAACCTTGCATTCATTATATTAGGTATCAAAGAAAATCCATTCTGGCTTCAAAAGGGACGTCTCTTTTCATGAATAAATGGAAATGTTACCTTATCACTTTTTGGCAATGGCATTTTTCGTTGTGGTTTGATCCAAGAAGGGTTTATATAAACCAATTCTCCAATCATTCCTTTGAAATTTTGGGCTATCTTTCAAGCTTGCGAATGAATTCTTCAGTGGTACGGAGTCAAATTCTAGACAATTCATTTCTAATTCAAAATGCTATTCCGAAGGTTGATACCCTTGTTCCAATTATTCCTCTGATTGCGTCATTGGCTAAAGCGAAATTTTGTAACGTATTAGGGCATCCCATTAGTAAGCCGGTTCGG